TACATAGGGTTGCTATGAGTTGTAATTGACTCGATGGCACACAACAAAAACAACAACAGTGTTCTCTTACTCTGTTCACACAACAGCCTCCTTGGTCTAGGTCTAGGTTGACTTATTTCAATTAACAGATGCAGCCCTGGAGGTGCTCACCAGTGTATGCCAGGAAATTTGGAGGACAGTCGTCTGGCCAAAGGATTGGAAGAGATCCATATTTGTTCCCATTCTTAAGAAAGGTGATCCAACAGATTGTGAAAATATCAAACAATATTATTAATATCACATGCAAGCAAAATATTGCTGAAGATCATTAAAAAATGGCTAGAATAGTAGAATAAATAGATAGGAAATGACCAGAAGTTCAAGGAGGATTTAGAAGAGGCCGTGTCACCAGGGATATCATTGCTTATGTCAGATGGATGTTGGCTAAAAGTAAAGAACAAAGGAAGAGTGCCTATTTATGCTTTATTGACTATGCAAAAGCATTTGACTGTGTGGATAACAACACTGAGAAGAATGGGAATTCCAGAGCAAGTGACTGTGCTCATGAGAAACCTATATACAAATTCAATTTGATGGTACCTAACAACAACAATACATATGTCTATCTCACACCCCTGTCATAAATGCAAATGAAAGAAACTTCTCATTGAAAAAAATTAGCCTTAAAAAAAAAGAAAGGAAAGAACAGCTACATACTGTGTAATTTTTTTTAAATAGGAAACCTTAATAATGCAAACTAATGTTGGAGGTAGAAATTGGTAGTTGATAAGGTAGGTATAAAGAAAGTAAAAAGAGGGTATAAAGATAACTTATGGGGTAACAAATATCTTCCCTATTCTATCTTGATTGTGGTCGTGTTATAGATATGAAAAGAGACACTGATTTTACTAAATTGAGGAACCTCATGTAACTGGTTGGTAAGTACTTTCAATAGGATCTTTTAACACTGCATGTTCTAAATGAATACAGATTTAGCTATAGCCTATTAACATTATCACAAGTATATGTATCAGGTGATTAAAACACCCAGGATATCCATATACTCAGTGGCCTACTGTTGACATGGAGGTAGGAATTTATGATGAGGGCTAGTTGTCTTTGGGAAGCAGTTATGCTACAGAAGAAAGGATTTTGGACAAGCAGTAGGAAGACCAGGAAGATCCAGGCTTAAAAGTTTGGCCTCTCTTCTTAATATCTGTGAGTTATTGTTCAGTTAATGGGACTCATGGAGATGTATGTGTGTCAGAGTAGAACAGCACTTCTTGGTTCAAGAGATGATTTTTTTGGAACTAGATCTCCAAGCCTGTCTTCTAAGGTACTTCTGAAACGACTTGAATCCTCACCTTTTTGGTTACTAGGTGAATGCTTACTGTTTTACACCTCTCAGCAACTCCAGTCATAAGCAAAACCAGACCCACTGTCATCGGGGTCTCTGAGGCAATAAAACTTTACGGGAGCAGGCTGCTCTTTCTTCTTCTGGGGAGAAACTGCTGACCAACATGTAGACAGCTCAACATGTCACGTACTCCACCAGGAGGGCTCCTCTACTTACTACCTATAAGACAGAACTTTCCAAAATGTCTCTGGTGTGATGAACAAGTGTTGCCAGTTTATTTTTCTATCTTAACAATCTTCCTTTCTTTTTAATAACTTTATTTTTTTGAGCATATACACAGCAAAAACATACACTAACAGTTGCTACATGTACAGTTCAGAAGCACTGACTGAACTATTCACATATTACACCCATTCTCACTCTAATTTTCATCCATCACAAAGGATGCTTTTGGAAACTATAATAAAAATAACTAGAAAAAATGAAATCTCCCCTGTATAGCTAGGTCAGCAGACTTATTTTTAAAAAATGTTAGTAATTTTCTGAGAATTTGCTCTCAATTCTTCTAGTTTTATGGCTAGACCACAATCTTCCTTTCTTATTACTAAGTTTATTTATTTTTTATTTTGAGCATATACACAGCAAAACCATACACCAACAGCTGCTACATGTACAGTTCAGAAACACTGACTGAACTATTCACGTAGTACACTCTTTCTCACTCTAATTTTCATGCATCACAAAGGATGCTTTTGGAAGCTATAATAATACATATACTAAAGAAAATCTCCCTTGTACAGCTAGATCAGCTGACTTAGTTATTTTTCAAAACTGTTAGCAATGTTCTGATAATTTATTCTCAACTTTTCTAATTTTATGGTTGGACTACATAAGTGGAGGATTTTACAAACAGCTCATGCACTGGTTGTTTGAGTGGGCAACTTTGGAAAGCCAACTTGATCTTGCTTCACTTTTTCCATTTATTGAGATCCCTAGGTGGACTGAGGATTAAAAAAGATGACATAGATATAAAAATAGTAATAGTTGTATAGTACACAAAGTGCTTTCTGTATTTTAAATTACTTTTGTTCTCATAGTAATCTGTTGTTGTTGTTGTTAGTTACTGTCAAGTTTATTCCAACACACGGCAAGCCTGTGTGCAGCACAGAACAGCTCCACAGGGTTTTGAAGGCCATAGTCTTTAGAAGATCATTTGCCTTGTCTTCTGAGCTGCTTCTACATGGGTTCACACCATCAACTCCTCAATTCATAGCCAGGCACGCAAACCTTTTAAGTCACCCAGTCGTCCCTCTTGTAAATAATAATGCTACCAGTATCCTCTACTTTCTGGAGGTTCACTTCATGACAATTCATTTTTATGAAAGACTTTATGTTACTATTTGTTCTCACTAACTGAAGGAAATTTGGAGAGGAATTTTGCTTTTACAGAAAAATGAAAGAGGGAAAACATTAGTGTCCACGCTTTCTTTGTCACTGAGCCTTTAAAGAGGCAGCGAGCCTCTGAGCAGTGGGAGAGGTGTCGCCAAGCTTCTCCCCCAGCTGGAGTGACACTGCACACACATCACTGATCCTTTAAACTAGCGGTGCATTTATCTCATCATTCCTGCTTTTACTGCATATTAGTGTTATGATTTGGCATATAAATTTTTGAGTCAAAATATGTTCCCATGTAAGTTAAAGGTAACTGATTCCCATTGGGCCATTTTGGCTAACGAAAGGATTTATGGGAACAATGTTTTCCCAGGGAGCAGGGGAAACTTGCAGTAAAAAATGATGTCAAGAGCAGGTTTTTGTTTAGATTTATTTTCAAAAAATTTTACAATGAAGCTAGGCACTATATGTGATGATCAGATTAGAATTCCTAGAGACAACTTCCACTTGAGTCTTGAGCTTCCCACACATAGAATATGCGGCTGAGAAGAAAGGAGAAGGTGCCTGAGAATCAGGAAACCATTGACAGCTCCCAGCTGTGACCACAGCCTCTGGGTCTTTGCCTAGGTGGTCAGTGGGGCCCTCTTGACCTCTGCTTCCCACCCATTAGCCCCATCACCAGGGGTCATGAGTGGAGTCCTGGTTCGCAGCAGTCACTATATTTTGTTGTTGTTGATTCATGTACATTGTGTTTTATACAATCGCCTGCAGATACTGTTCATTCATGTACATTTTGAGAAAGCAGTTAAAACCACTCTTCAATACCAGATCACAGTACCACAGTACTCCATTCTCCTTGTTATATCTTTTCTTGGTTTACACTTAAATGGCTTTTTAAAAAAAATCTCCATTCATTGATTGTTGTACTTTTCCCCCCCTTCCCAACCCTGCCCCCTAGTACATTCCCCTCTTGGAAAAGTAAAAGAAAAATTGTTTCATTGTTTTACAATCCCTCCCCCCCAGGTCCACTCCACTATGCAGTCTTTGCTCTGGACTCCTGTCATGACAAAAATACCTAATCACATATCCCTTTTAAGCAGTTTTCTCCCTCAGCTGTTTCAATGCAGTATACATTATTGAACCCATCTTTCTCAGTCTCCCCCCAGCCCCGATGTCAGTCCTGTTTTACAACAGTGGCACCATGCAGTATTTGTCCTTTTGTGACTGAGATATTTCACTCAGCATAATGTCCTCCAGGGTCATCAATTTTGAATAATATTTGCATGAGTTCCTTGTTTTAAATGACATTTTTTTGATCGTAAAATACAAAATAAATAACAATGCAGGAAAGAAAAATATGAAATAGAAAAATGACTATGTGTATTCCACTTAAAAAGCTGTTAAATGTTCACAGGAGCATGATTTGTATTCAACTCATTGCTGTTTAGGTGGGACCAAGTCATAGCTGACCTTCCAGAGGCTGTCAACTACACAGGAGGCAATTACCTATTTTTCTCTCACAGAGCAGATGGTGAATTCAAACTGTCTTCTTTTGGTTAGCAGCACAACTCCTTACCTATTAGGCAACCAGAGCTCCCTTATTATGTACCAGTGCATTTATATGTGTGTTTTCATATGTGTATTTAATACACATACACATGTACATAGATATGTATGTGCATAGTTGTGTGACATATATTGTTTGTTGCTGCTGTGTCATTGAGTTGGATTGACTCAGAGCAGACCCTCCAGTGAGTTTCAGAGGTAGTAAATTGTATGGGAGGAGACTGGCCATCCTTCTTTTGAGGAGAAGCTGGTGGATTAGAACCATGTGTCTTTGGTATTGCAGCACAGCTTCTTACCATTAAATATACATGTTGTTGTTGTTGTTATGTGCCGTTGAGTCATTTGTGACTCATAGCGACCCTATGCACAACAGCCCTAAACCCTGCTCTATCCTGTGCCAACCACAATGCCTCTGACACACCCATCCCGATTACCCCAGTCACTGAATCAATATAACATATATAATGTTAATATAAATTTAAAACCTAGTAACTTTAATATACATAATAAAATAGAAAATTTTATATAAAATAATTTATATATATAGATATATATTTTAAAAGTGACTGCTATATGGTTGTCAATATTTTTTCTCTTCCACATTGCCCTTGAATTATTCTGACTTTTGCAGTGTGTTTTCCCTTGAGGTGACTCCCCGCCCTGGTCTTCCTTCACCCGCTTGCTGCCCACCCCCGTGCACTTTTACCTCTCCAGCCTCTGCATGGTCATGGCCAGCGTCTTGTTCAGCTCGTCGATCATCCTGCAGCTGGAGGGGTGCATGGGCAGGGAGCCGGTGGAGGAGGGCAGGTGCTGGCCGTGGCTGCCGTACTGCAGCTGGTGCTGGAGCTGGGATGGCAGGACCGTGTGGTGGTGCTGGGCCATGCTCTGCTGGCTGCTCTTCTGGGCGGCATAGGAGGCCAGGGAGAGCTCTGGGCCCCCGACAGGCATACAAATCATGACTTTCTTTGGAGGTAGCGGAGGCGACAGTTTCACTGGCAGACAAGGCAATTTCACAGGGGCGCCAGGATCTGCAGCAGAAGGAGGGTAAGATGCAGGTGTGAGTTAGGGGCTTCAGAAGGAACCCAGCATAGCCCATGTGCCCACCTGGTGACTGTCCACTGAAGAGAACCCTTGCCATAAAGCATATCAATTGAAGACACCAGCATGAGGAGCTGCTCAGGTAACATCAGGCAGCCAGCACTCTCTCCCTACTGTAAGGCTGTAAGGTGCCCAGGGCCCACCCATCAGTGTGTTGTCTGCCTGTGTGCCAGAGTGAGGCCCTGAGCTGCACAGATGGTGAGCTAGCAGGAAGAGGCAATGCAAGGAACTCTTCTCATGGATGCACACAAGACTGGGAAGAGACCGCTTTCTAGGCTTTCCTATTGGACAGTCAAGAATTTGGTCTTAGGGAGCTCTGACAGCCTAGTGGCAAGAAGCTGCACTACAATCCTGAAGGTGAACAGCTCGAATCCACCAGATGCTCCGCTGGAGAAGGAGGGGCAATCTCTTCCAGTGCCAGCTGGATCCCACTCGAAGATACACAACAAGGAAAAAAAAAAAAAAAGAATTCAGTCTTGCTCAAAGAGAGGTCTGGCTTTTGTCCCTGCTCCTGGGAGGGAATTTTTGAACTCATGACATTCCAAGTAACTAAAGTGTCTTTATTACTCAAAGTAAGGCCTGTGGTCCACACCTGATCATTTACCCTAGCAAGGCAGCCGTGGTGGGCTCTTGGGCCATATGGTATCAAGGCCAAATCGATGGGAGCACTGGATATGAAGTTCAAGCACATCGGCAATCAATCAATCATGCCTATGTAACAGAGCCCCTGCAGTGATAAAGCCTGAGTGAGTTTCTCTGGTTGGCAATACTCCATGAATTCTGTCACCAGTAACATATCATAAGGACAATAGCAATTTTGCATTTTGGAACCTCCTCAGGCTCTGTCTTGTTTATCTCTTCCTGTGGCTGAATGTATTCTGCATCATTTCCTTGAATCAAGGACGAGTTTCCACTGAGTTCTAGTAAACTACTGAACCTGGGGCTGGTTTGGGGAACTCTCTCAACTTTAGCTGGCGTCAAAAAGCATGGTCTTCTGTGGGCCTGTCGCTAGAAGTCTGTAGATGGAACTGAACTCTGTGTGGTTAGCATGAAAAGTCTTGGGCAAACTTGACAATCTGAAGATTGCACCCTTAAGCCTTAGAGTGTGACTAACTCAAAGTACCCATGATATCTAAAATATGGCCAGTGTAATTGGGAAATGCAGGAAAAGGATGGGCAATCTCCTCCCATGCAATTAACTGCCTTTGAAAACCCACCAGAAGGTCAGCTATGGGTTGGTTCCAACTCGATAGTACACACCACCACCAGTAACAAAATGGAAGTAGCCTCCTAGCTGATTCTTTCTATGGTGTTAGAAGGCAAACCAATGTTCAAGTCTGCTGATAACATCATAGTATTACTTTGATGCTGTCTACCATAATTCTTTCATCTGCAACATGGTGATGATCAAGCCTGCTGAGGGAGCTTTGGCGAGCATCATTTATCACAGAGACAGAGGACCTGGTCTGTGGGCCTGACACGGGTTCTGTTGAAGACTGTTACTGCCAGGCATGGTAAGAGGCAAGGTGTAACATATGTGCAGGGCTGGTTGACCCTAACCCAGAATCCATGGTGGGCTCTGACAGGGCACTCCAGGGGCCTGAAGGAATCTGCCCAGAACCAACCCCTTAGTTCTTTAGCAGTGTTCTGGAAGCTTCCTAGAGAGGCTCCAAACCTCAGAGGGCTCAGCTGCCAGGTAGACGATGGGAAGACCATGTCTGTCTGCAGTGTCTTCAACTGCTATTGGGTCGATTCTGACTCCCAGGACCCTATATGTTAGACTAGCAGTGCATTCTAGCCAGAATCAGACTACATTTTCCTCCTGCAGAGCAGCTGATGAGTTTCAACAGACATTTTGGTTGCCAGCCAAGTTCTTAACCACTGTGCGCCCCAGGGCTTCCTGTCTGTGCCCCACATTCCTGGGATCCATCGAGGCCTGGAGAAGCAGGGGCAGGCATGCTTGAGCCCTGTGGGCTGCAGGCTGGCCTGGAGACTTTCTGCTTTGAGTGTAGCCTCCCTCCAATGTAACATCCACAGTCCTGCCCAAATGACACGCCTGCAACAAAAATGCCAGGGTGCCACCCCTCTGCATGAAACCCACCACTGGCTCCTCGGCTAAGAAGAGAAATCCAGCTTCTCTACACATCTTTCAAGGCCTTCTTGGCCTGGATCCTATTCAACTCATCTGCTCCTGTCTATATCTCACCTTCATGAGGTTTGCTCTGCTTCCCTGAGAAAGTGATGGTGCTAGTGAGAGCCGGAGTGTCTGGCTGGACTTTCTCCCTTGAGATCCATCACTTTATTCACATGGATTTTACTTAGGTGTTCCCACACGAACCCAGGCTCCAGCAAAGCCCTACCAAGGTGGCCTCGGTCAGATGGCCCATCCCATGTTCCACAGAAGTCGTTCCAGTCTACCCTGCCTTCCTCATCTTCCTGGCTCCTTTGCAGATGAAAATCAAACCAAATAAAAAAAAACAAAACCAAACCAAAACCAGGCTCTGGTGAGCCGATTCTTATTCCTGGTGGCCTCACAGGTGTCCGAGTAGAACTGGCTGCCCACAGAGTTTTCAAGAGCTGATGTTTCAGAATGAGATTACCAGGTTTTTCTTCCACCTCTGCATGGACTTGAACCATCTACCTACTGGTTGGTTAGTAGTGAGCATGTTAACTTTTTGAACCACTCAGAGACTCTTCCCATTTGCCAGGAAATCAGAACTGGGCACTCAAGTCCTTCCCCCGAACCCTCTCCCCCCAACCCCCTGCCATTGGCTGAATCCAAGCTTCTTTTCTCTCCATTACCCACTGATATCTAACCTCACTCATGCTTGAGTTCTCCAACCTCCCTGATGTATGTGTCTCCCCGTCTGTTTGGAATACCACTATCTCCTGTCTTGCTGAATTCTTACTCTTTTTAAATCTAGCTAAAAAAAAAAAATACATTTATATATTATCTTTTCCAGAGGCTTCTTCCCTAATCACAAAATCACTCCATTCCACATTCAACTACCATGATCTGTGATACACAAATACTGATGTTAACAATATTGAAATGCTACTGATGAGGGCTTATGCTTAGGGCGCCTGGGGGGATGGAAAAATCTGAGAAAGGATCAGGTGGTCGGGCAAACAGTGTGATGATCAGCATTAATGTCTCAGAACTCTATGTGTGAAGTTTATCAAAGTGGAATTTGTTCTGTGACCACACTGGGGGAGAAAAGTGTTAACAGTGACACTCGCGGTAATAACAGCGACAGTACTAATTATTGCCAACTCTTATGTCGTGCTTTTGCAGTGTCAGATATTGCTCCACGTGAACTTTTCACACCTTAATAAACTTAATCATCACAATAAGCCTACGAGGCAGACGCTGCTTTTATAATCGATTTCACAGAAGATGAAATGGACTCTGGAGACAGCACCAAATTCTTGTTTATGTAATCGTCTCCTCTCCTGGAGAGCAAGTGCCGTGTGTACTTTCTCATCACACCCTTAGCAGCTTGCACTGTGCTCAGCTCACAGCAAGAGGCTCAACACATTTTGACTGGAATAGTCTGTAACTAGATGAATTTGCACCTTCCTCAAAAACTGAACTCAGGGAGGGAGACCTGAGCAAGAATGGATTACGGTCTTAGGATCCTCAGAGTTTGGATCCTACAGCTGAGATGCAGGAGAGTCTCACCTTCTCAGGCTCACTTCTGAGGTACCATCTCACAGGTTACACTCCCACTGCCATGACCCACCTATGACACAAAGGAAAGCCTCTCAGGAGCATCCGAAGCTGGGCTAAATCCACAGGGGCTGAGATGGGAAAATTCACCCACTCTGCCTATGTTTTGTCACTAAAGGGTCTATTTCCATGGCTCTGGCAGCTTTAGTCCTCTGCTGACCTAATTGTAAGGAGCTATATGCTGCTAAACCAAAGACACGTGGTTCAAATCCAGCTACTCCATAGAAGAAAGATGGGAAATTTCTCATCCATGCATTTTACTGCCTCTGAAAACAAGCTGGAGGGTTTCGACTTGACGGTACATGGAAAAAGCCAACAACAAACCAGCTGTTGAGTCTACTCTGACCCAGTGTGACCCTCCAAGGAGAACTATGGTTTTTAGGGTTTTCAAAGTGTGATTTTTTTCAGAGGAAGACTTACAGGTCTTTCTTCAGAAGTGCCTCTGAGGGAACTTGAATCTCCAGCCTTTGGGTGAAAGGCAAGCACAGTAACCGTCTGCACTGCCCAGGGACTCTGGTCACCCTTGACAAAGGCATATGCAGGAAGTGTGACAGCTTCTCCTCCAGGGACTTCTTTGCCTGTGTTTCCTTCACTTGCAGCTGCCCCACCTCCATCTTAGACAGATAGATGCTTGCTCATTTACTCGCTCAGGAGAAAGAAGTGGGAAGACTGAGAATTCTCTGCTCAGAAAAGGACTAAGAATACATCAGGTCCTGCTCATCATGTTAAGATATAACTTCCAGTCACAGATAAAAGAGTCTTTTCACAGCTCTTGTAGCAAAACATACTACTTGGTGTGCTCACAGGGAGCAAGGCAAACAGACCTTGGGATCCTATCCGCACAAGCAAGGGAGCAGGACCAAATGAGTGGAGAGAGTTACTTTACTGTTTTAGGGGCCACTCACTCAATGGTTTCGATGTGACTCAGTTTCATAGCAACCCTCCAATGGGCTTCCAAGGCTGTAAATCTTAAAGAAAGGAGGCTGCTCATCATTCCCCTGCAGAGCTGCTGCTGGATTCAAACCACCAGAGGCATGAAGCCCTCTGGCTAGCAGTGCAACAACCTCCATCCTCAGAGTTCCTTGGGCTTTCCACAGCATCCTTTCTCCCACTTACATTTTGCTTCTCACCCCGTTTGCTAGGTTGTACGGTGGTGACTGGCATGACGCTTTGATGCTGGGAGCTACTCCACCAGTGTTC